TTCAGCAGAAATCTGAGAGGATTCTCCTTTTCTGGGTAAGGTTATTTGCAGTATTTTTGCGAATCGTACCCCTTCCACCAGTCTTTGCTGTCCTTCTCAGTCACTGTCCAAAGCCTATGGGGATCGGATGTGGAAGGCTTGAAGGTCTGAACTATGAGAATGAATCTTCTACTTTTATTATGCCACTATAATGTATGCTGTGTTCAAACATAAGTGGGGAAAAAAAAACAAAAACACAAAAGTGTAGATGGTGGGCAGCTGATGTAAAATAGAGCTGAAGTTTCCATTCTGGGAGGGTGGTTCAGTTGAGAAAATGGCCAGTGCACACTAACTGCTGTGTTTCTTACTCACCATAATGAAATAATGCCTCTGATCTCATGGTGTAAGAAAATAGCATCCATTGGGGTAATCAGTGTTATATTTCCTGTTCTGTTACAAAGATACCAAAGATAGCAGTAGTGAATCTCTGTGCTTTCGAAACTGCAAATAGTAATAAGTTGGAATAATTTTTAGATGTACAGCAAGCAGTGTCAGAGGAGCAGAAAACCTAAATCTTTATAGGCTCTGCGTTTGTTGCCAGTGAGTCAGAAAGTGAAGAGCAGTTTAAAAACAAAACCAAAAAAAAGACCAAAAAAAAAAAGGCAGAACATGAGTTAATCTGTAAAAAAGCTAAGTAGCATAGTCACTTGAGAATGACACTGGCACTTGTTTGTGGTATCCTACAGCTTTGTTAGATATTTTCCCATTTAAAATTGTTACCCAGAGGATAGAAGCTCCTGTGACTTTATTCATAGGAGGATCTTGGGTTTAGGTGGTAAGGAATGCAGCAGCCTGTATTGCTCGCTGTTCAATTACTGTGGTTTTGTTGTATTTGCATAAAGTACAGCTATTTCAGACTCCATTTTTGTGACAACCTACTGCTTCCTGCTTATCATAGCTTAGCAGAAGGTGGCTGAATATATTCACATGCTGTAGGGAACAGAACTACTGAGATAAGTCTTGGGCGGGGGGCGATACCATTGGATTTTGCTAAGTAGGGTAACAAAGCAAACATCCACAGGTTTTCTTTTGATTTTTCTCCCATATCTAGGATTGTAAGGGGAAAGATTAAAGATTAATTTCCACATGCATTTTTCATTTTAGTAGGAAGCAAAATGTTTCAGTCCTGTGAACCTAAAAATGTGTTACAGTCAAATATTTATCTTGGTCTTGCTACTGACCACCTTTGACTGTAGATAATGTGAATTTACTTATCTGGTAGAAAATCAGATGACTGAGGAAAGAGTAACTGAGAAGTGGACAACTGGAAGCTTCCCAAGCACAGTAAATAAAAACTCATTTTAATTTCTTTATTATCTGCCTTCATACCTTTGATATTAAAATCTTTCTGTTTACGTGAATAGTTCCTGATGAAATTAAAATGGAAGACAGAGAGTCAGAAAAAGAATATGAGAGAAATGAGAAGAGAAATCATAGTTTATGGACTAAGGAGTCATTTAATCTAGCAGAGGAAACAGAAAGGTACGAAAAAAGAACAATAAGGCATGTTTGGCTTTGGGTTACAAAGATTTAGAATAATGGTTCCAGTATATTTTAACAAGATTCAATGCTTACAGTGAGCCAACTTTTTAAAGAACCCTCATAATTATGACTCTTTTGTTTTAAAATGTGTAGTGTTGAATTTGCTGGCATCCATTTTAAATCTTTCGTTCCACAGGGCTCACTCTACTCTTGATGATATGTTAGAAAGCATGCTCCATGCCCTTCCTGGAGATGAGGAGATCCGAGGACAACCTCAGGGACACACTCTTGGGTTAGCTGATAATTGATACTTTGTTCATAAGTTTATTTTGTTTACATTTTGTGTACAGACCTATGCAGGGCTTTTTGGAAAATGAGCTGTCACTCCTTAGAGAGTAGTGTGTCAGGGAACTTGGCTGGAGACTGAACTCTCCATGCTAAACTGGGAGGGAAAAGAATGCTTTGTTAATATAATTTCCTGTAGGTGGAAAGCAAATACTTCAATAGGCTTGGAAGACAGTGCAGTGTCTTTACAGAAATCAGAGATAATTTGACAGAATAGTGGATTTTTTGACATAGAGAAGAATGTACATTAAGAGAACAGAATCACGAAAGCTCTTCAGAGAGGAGTTTGGGAAGATAGTTATACTGTCATGGCAATATAGGAGGAAATGAAGAAAATGGCAGAAATCATGTGTATGTTACTTTTAAGGAAAAGATTGTTAGCCCAAATAACTTTTTTCCTCTTAGGACCACATTTGCTTAATGTTATGTAAGGAATCAGTGGAGTCTGTGTATGGATGTAAAGCTAAAGCACATCTGTAGTCTTAGAGGGGAGAGGCAGTTTGGGGGTTGGAGGGGGCAGATGCCCGTTACAGGTCAAGGTAAAAATGAAAAAGCATCTAGTATCTCCAGAGGCATCTGGTTTAGTGCTCTGTATTCACCCTGTATAAAAGAAAGTACAAAAAATGGGGATGATACACAAAACTGTCATTCAAGGGCTGCAAGCCTGCAAGATCCAGAAGATGCAAGGAAGAAGGGAGTGGAGGAAAGCTGGAGTCGAAGCCAGAGGCAGAGCAACACAAAGCTGTGCAGGGAGTTCAGAAGGTCCTCGGCATTTGTAATGTCGAGCTTGCATAGACTAGTTTTTTGCTTTTCTTGATTTCCCTCATCTGTACTTTAGAAGTACCCTGTACTTCTAAAGGAGAGGAAGCTGCTCTAGGCTTAAACTCTCCAGATACACTTGAAAACTTTCTATTTTTTTTTGTCAGTTGAGACTGACAGCATTGTGGACCGTTTTTGCCAGAGTTGCAGTGTCTCTCTCAGGGAGAGTGCAGTTTCCTCTACTGACTTGAAAGCTCTGAAAGCTGATAATGCTGCTTCTGTGTCCTGTTCCGTGCTCAGCTGCTCTGGCTTAGGCACCGAACCGCTTCACACCGTCAGCACTTCGGTTACTGGCAGTATGGTTTGGGATGTACCTGTGATGTGCATGCAAATGCCATCACATCCCTTAAACATCTGACTCTTGGTCTCATCTCCCTGTCTTCCTTGAACAGAAACTAGAAGTAAGGAGGAAGATGTGAGATAAGTTTCCTCTGTTTGTAAGTCCAGATCACCATTAGGACCTGTCAGAGCTGACTGCTGTTCTGCAGCTAAAGTGAAAGGTTGCCATTTTCAACCTTTCTCAGATTCTTGTTACAGGGAGGGGACTGACATACTTGCTTTAAGTTAACGTGCATTTAGTGCTATGCAAAAAGTATGAAAGAACTGGCATTTTGTCTGCAAAGAAAAAGGCAGTAGCCTTTACTTTTCAGAGATAATTTCTGATTTTTTCGGTGTGAGGCATAAGACGAGTTAAAGCAAGCTGGTCATCAGTGTTGTGGGCATTTAACATTTCTGCAGCAGTCAGCTCTACAACATGTGTTTTGCTTTTCAGCTGGGCACCCAAAGTTCGAAATGTCTCAAATCACTAGTTACTTTTGGAAATGTTGGTGGTAATTTTTAAACCTAGTGATCTGGAGGTAACATTGTGCCTGTTATTTGCACAGCACTAGCATACATAGCCCTGTGTTCTGTCAGACTTCTAGAACTGAGCTGGTAGGGATCCAGCTTTAGGTTTTGAAAACAGAATGATTTCTGATCACAAAGAGGGTCCTGTGTCGTACACCGGACCGCAACAGCGCTGAGGCTGGTTTCTGGTTACGAGTGCAATGTAATGGATCTGGCAGGGAGATCCGGAGCGTTCAACTCAGCGTGCTGTGCCTGCTGGCAAAGCCAGAGAAGAATTTCTCTTGGAAGTGGTGTGTGGCTGTGTGTGCTCTTCTTGGTTCTGAGCTGAATTTACATGTTTTTTTAGGCACACATCCTGAAGATCAGAAACTCCACTTACAGTAACAGCTGTCGTCGTCTTCTCCATTCAGGTGGGCCTCTCTGAGAATTGAATGGGGCTTTTGGCAGAAAGTTGTGTCTTCTCTGGCAGAACGAGATACGTTCTTGTTTTCTATCCCCGGGAGGCGAAAGGGGCAATATGAAATCTATTCTCTTCAACTTGTAG